ATTACGAGTGAAATTTTACCTGTAAAGAACTATTAGCGCGAATTATTATTAAAAAAAAAAAAATAAAGAAAAGAATATAAAATGAAAAAATTATGCTCGACCCCTAATTTTGACAAAATTCTTTTTCCGTTCGCGTATAGGTATAGGTCTACGGTGGATTACTCGAGATTATAAGGGCACGGCAGGAAATGCTGACACTGTCTCTTTGTGGTTTTCTCAATACCCTATATAATCCTATTATGATACTCCGAAATGCTCCTATAATGTCCACCCGCCGGAGATTAGAATCGGCACGAGTCATGAGAGAGAATCGGTCAGATTGTACATCGCGCGACGTGTTTGCGATCATAAAATTCAAAACGATAAGGCATAAGGTAAGGTACAAGATAGGTAGATAGAAGTAAGGACCGAGAGACTCGTGCCTGATTTTAATTTATGTCGTGAGAACGGCATCTTGCGAAAGTCTTTCTTCGACATGCCGAGATAACTTTGGACACGCCTGGTCTCTTCTCCTCTCGTCTCTTCGCTCTCGTACCGTTACTTTTTCCGCGATAAGTGCGCCGTCCGATTAGCGCGCTCGTCGTCGATAGAAATTTATGCACGCGCGATATATTGCACGGTGAAATTATCATCGACGTCGCATCTCTCGCCGTAAAATTACTTGCATTAGTATTAAATTATCTCTCTCATTCTCTCTGTAAAATCTGCATAAGATTTATCTAAATAATCGCATCGCTTCTCTTTTATTTGTTTCTCATGCGTACTGAATAATTATTTTATTTTTGAATCTTTCAATGTAATTCATATTTCATTTTCTAGTTAATTTCATGTAATATATATAATTAATATATAAATATTAATTTTATATAATATTAATTTATTTTATAAAATATTAAACTTAATTTATATACCTATAATATTAATTTTAATTTATATCTCAATTTAATAACTTATGTGTGTTAACTGCAAAGTACGCGCGCACCAAAATGTTGGTAAAAAATATAATTATATACAATTAAATATATCATAAATTCTAGAATGTTTTATGCATTTTTTATAATGCGTCATAAAATTTTATATAAAGCTTATTTCACAGGAAAAAAATTATATCTTTATTTGCATAGTAAAACGTTACTCTAAAATTTACGTTTTCAGGTATTTCCTTGACCTGGATATATTTATTTGGGTACCTGTTTGGGTTCAACATTCATCAATATTGTGATCTCTCACAACTACTCTTTCATCAAAAATCTTACACCTAAAAACCTCTCACAACCTATACCTATTCTAAAATATATCTAAAATGTAAAATCACCGCTGCCGCCCTTCCATTCACCACAATATTTAGGAAGAATAAGAAGCTCTCATTCTGTCCTGACTTTCGTCTTATTCAGCTGTATAAACTATCATTAGGTTCCCCGCGCTCACAATCAGATACAGACGCGAGCAAGAAATACGTGCGTTAATAAACGGATGTGTAAAGCGAATGGTATAAATTATGGCCTTTTTATCTCGCACGGCCGCCATGCCGTTACGTGTACCCATCAGTCTCGACAGGCCATTACATCTAGACAGCCGGGTAATACTAAAGCAGCGCAACATGCGGACCGAGTGCGACACGACGTGCAGCGTGTTCGGAACACGCTGCACGCGAATTGTGCATGTATCTCGCCGTGGATTTCACATCGGGCTGCTTCACATTGTATATCTGGCCTCACGTATCCCGTACGCGACGTGCGCGTCCACGAGATAGATGCTAAAGATTAACACGTAAATGTCTCGATTCACGCATAAACGTACGTAGATAAGCTCTAGAAACGACTTTTAATGTCACATACAATTAATATAATTAATTTATATATATATATTTTTTTTATATATATTATATTATACGTAATATAAAAATATAATATATGGTATATTTATATTATATATTAATTAATTTAATCATATTTTAAATTGTAAGATTTTAAATGATAATAACAAGAGATAAAATCGTTTAATAAAATTGTTTGCATAAACTAAATATTTAAAATATCCGTGTAATTATGCAGCAAGTGCTTTAAACATTCTCGTGTCGCGAAAGCTGCATAATTAGCGTTTCGCGCTTCTCCTCGTCGTATTTAACAGTTGGTAAAAGATTTGTTTAGTACATTTTACGACCGAAACATAATCAGCTCGAGCTTACGCGGCTCGCATTCCGTAATCTGTGGGACCAATTAAACGCAATCCGCGTCTGTTATTGTTATTCAACGATAAAGGGTCGTGCCCAGGAGGGGGCCTGAAATCCAGACCTCTGGATCGTATAAACGACACGACGTCTTTCTTCTTCTTCCTTCTCTCTTCTACGGAGGCACGAAACGACGGGGACGCGCTCCGATAAATTATTCATGACCTCACGACAAGTCGCGCTGCGTCCGAGACTTTTATATAAATTTTTATAGATCGTGCAGAAAACGAGGAGGCTACGTCCCTTCGACGACTCGCGACTTCCTCGTATCGATCGATCGATGCATCGTGTATACGTAATTTTCTATTGTCAATAATTAATATAGAAAACAAAACGAGTGCTCTCAGCATAAGTACTTACTGTTATACGCTACAAAATTAACTAAACACAACATTTTAATCGTTTTTATTATTTCTAAGTGCGAGAGGAGAGATGATTTTAATGTTACACATATCATTTTCAATGTATATGCTCTGTTTGTAGAAGATTACGAATATATTCTCTGTAGCCTATGGGATGATCGAATAATAATCATATGTCACACAAAAAAGAGAGATGTCTTAAAATCTAACGACAGATGAGAAAAAAAAACGTATCTATGTATGTCAAGTGTCTCCGAATCAAGTTTGCTTTGAAAATACGAGCGCGTCGATAAATATTCGGCGAGACTTAATAATAGCAAAGATATATGTAAGTCTCATTAAATTCCAGATCGAGAATCTTAATCTTCTATTATTCAAATAATTTCTCCAGTTAGAATCTTTATTAAAAAGAAAAAGAAGAAGAAAGAAAAATACGATGACGTTACGCTATTATTCATTGAGTTTCTCGATCGTCGAATAACACGATCGCGATGCTCGAGGGATAGCACGTTCTCTCGTATACAGTGTGCTCCGAAAAAACAGGGTACAACAAGCGTTCGCGAATAACACGCGACCGCAACATTAAGTACGCCTTAACTATGCGTCAAAATTATTACCATCGCGCTAATCACCACGCCCCGTGAGGAAATATATACCGCTTCCTCGAGGCTCTCGTATTGCCCGATCCGGATTACGACCTCTCCGTGCACGTGATTTGTACCGCTCCGAAGGCGACCCGGCTCCGTTTGAACCGAGAAAGAACGAGAGAGATGCGCAATGAACTGCGGCAAGGCTTTGATACACTGCCATAAACAAAGTGACCGAAGGGAATTGGACCAACTGGATCATTAAATGCCAGAGCTGTGTTTTCTTTTTCTCAGGGTTGGGTAAGTTAATGCTTTTTTTAAAACTAAGTTAAGTTAAAGTTAGTTGCTTGTAAAATTAATTAAGTTAAAGGTTGTTTAAACAAAATATTAACTCAATTAAAATTAAATGAAAGTTAACTGAAGTTAAATCAAAATTTAATTTTTAAAAACATTATATTAAATTAGAATTTTGTTTGTTAATTCTTTTAAAATTTATAACAACAAATAACAAAGAAATTTTGATTTTTATATAGAAATATATTCTTTTTCATTACAATTGATGACAAATGAAGATAAAAATTAATATAATACTTTAATTTAAAAATAATACATTTATAACTTATAAAGAAAGAATAATAGTATTCAAAGATTTAAAAAATTTAACTTGGGAAAAAAGTTAATAAGTTTAAGGTCAAAAATAATTAGTTGAACTTAAAAATTAATACATTTTAAATTAACTAAGCTAAGTTAAAAGTTTAACTTTTAACTAATTAATTAGTTCTTATCCAACCCTGCTTTTTCTTTCTCTCTTTCTCCTCCTTTCCTTTCGTTCCATATAACGAACGCGAATATTGGACACCCGGTATACGACGGAATCTCGCGCGCGTGACGCGAAGAACGACGACGCGTCGAAGGATGTAAAAGCGCTAATGAAAGATACGATGTACGTAAAAAACGGGTCTACCCTTCAGCCCCGAATGTTTATTCAAGAACGACGTTGACGAAAGAATACAAACGTCTCGTGTTCGGCCGATGAGAAACAAGAATATTTTTATTTTTTTACTTTTCAACATACACTATTCATTCACACATTAGTGTACGGATATATTTAATCGCATGTACGAAAATATATCACAAACTCGTATCGTGGATTAAATAACGTTCGTAACATTATTATGCAATAAAGTAGCATTAATAATGCCAAATAAATGTCGATAACGTTATTTATGTGCTTGTAACGTTAAACAATATTGATAATAATAAGAATAATAAAATGCACAGTCATCACGCAGTAATTTCAGAGAGAGACTGTTAATTAAAAAGTCAGCAACAAATATTTTATTACCAGTGGAAATAAATCACTGACATTATAAATTCGATTTATGATGTAAAATTGTTTACACAACGGGATTTATCGATCGCAGATCATAAGAAGCGTATAAATATATTATCCGAGCAAAAAAGTACTCGACGAGATGTGACAATAATCATATCACAGTACTTTACAATTCCGTATCACGTGATCATTTGAAATACAATAACGCGCCCAAATTTTCGCGCGCATTTTATCTCCCAAAGGAAAACAACAATCATGGCCGCCATGTTGATACGAGATTTCCGAAAACGCGAATTTTTGTATACGTGTACGCCGGTTTATTTTAATCGACAGCTATCAAAATTCACGCGTTGTCTTCGTTCTCTCGAGAGAAAAGAAAGCTGCGAGATATATAAATCCCGTGGTATACACACAATGGCCGCGCTAATGATCGGCTACAACCGGTCGCGTTGCCAAATCGATAATACGCGTTATGCATTACTCACCGGTTTCGCGAAGAGAGAAAGCACAATTAGCAATCCTGCGGCTCCATAGCGACGTTGATCCTCGGCACACAACTAAAGTCTGTCCTGCGAACCGGTATTCGATGCACGAACCATGAAAGCCACGGTGGTTTTGTCACTGTTCCTTCGAGTCGCGCCGGAAATCCATAGAATCCGTTCGTGAATTCGGCGATGCGATCACACAGGACGAACGTCGAGAATAAACCACGAATTCGGTTACACTCGTAAACGAAACAACGCGAAACTACGCGCGTCGTACTCTTGTTTGTTTACGCGAGCGCGAAAAGAGCGAGACCGACTCTCTCTCTCATCCGATACTCGGGCAGCCAAACGCCGACTGAGAGCACGAGACGCGAGACACGTACAACGTAGCTCCACGCGTCTACCCTCTCTCTTTCTCTCCCGCGGCGAAGTAGGGGAGCCGACTTGTAGTTCGCGCAGTCGCCGCTAGGTTGGCGCCAGTCGACGCGACGGCGCGGCGTCCAAACGTTCGAAGAATCGAGACTTTTATATTGTTCTTCAAGTTTAATTCTCTCCTGGAAAGGTATTTGAAAGAAAAACAAACTGACAAGATTGTGAAGGACAAGAAAAATAATGGTGCATTGTTCGCGTTAAAGTGAATTCATGGTAAAGTAGCGGGAATTATATAACATTTCGCGCTGCATCTCGATTACTATTTTAAGAAAAATATTTATAAGAAGTATGTTTAAAAAATATGTTTGAGAAGTTTGAGAGTAATAAATGTAACAGAAATATAATAGAGATGTATGGAAATATAATAGAAATTAGAAAAAGAAACCAAATAAGAAAATTAATAGGAAAAAATAAAAAACAATTATATATATATATCTTTTAACACAATATAAATACTTTTTTCTGTGGAAATAAATTTCTTTTAATTTCAATTTCAAGCTAAAAACAAAATAATACGTCGATTTTGATATCTTGTTTCTAAGCAATTAATCATAAATTCTACTATAAACATACTAAATTTATTATTGCTTACAAATAAAATATAAGAGCAATAAATTTTGCATTATAAACTTAAATACAAAGTCGTCCTTTTCAGATCGTAATTCAAAATTTATTAGCAGTAAAACATTCCATGACTATAATACTAGAGTATCGTTAAAGTGTGATATGTTGGCTTTCAGATATCCAAGAAACAAGAAGAAAGTATTTTCTCGCACATCTTTTACTTGAAAAAAAATTCTTTATTAAATATTTTCGTCATTCAAGTTCCATTTACTCCGCGGGTGACCTCACGCGAAATAATCGTAAATAATTTCTAATGCATACATACGTGAAGCATACCGTTAGAAATTTCCCGCGGGTACACGGAGAAACCTGAAGTACGTATGCTGAAGAAATAGTCGTCGTCAAGCGACAGAAAAGACCCCTTGAAACGCGATTCAAGAGTACAACTGAGATCCAGCTCTCTTAGTCGTCCGTACCATATTAAGAGAGCTCGCCTTATTAACATGCCGGGAGAATTGACATCTGCTCGTTACTCTACCGCAAAAAATATTCTGCAAAGAAATATACATTGCGTTACAAAATTGGACAACGTCGAAATTATAGTAATCTGTATTGTTTGGATTTTTCCTGAGAACACGCGCAGAAATATCATGAAAAATTCTGAAATCTATGTGTTATCTTAAGTCATCAGTTCCTTTTGAGTGTATTTCAGGAAGCAACATTTGCAACGAATATCGATTAAAGTCAAATTGCACATTCTAGAAGAAGGAAATGAGTCTCTCATACGTTTTATGGCTAATTCGAGATAATTAAACGCGAGCTCTTGAGTATAAATTTCACGTGTCTGTAAATTGTTATTACAAAAAAAGTCATAAAGTTCTCTGTTAAAAATAAAAAAGAACTTAATGTGCGCAAAAACTATATATATATATATATATATATATATATTTTTTTTTTCTATAAGATATATAGAAATAAAAAGAAACAAATATTATTCTAAGAAATATTTTTCCTTTCCTCGAAATATTAAAATCTACGATTGGATTACATGGGAAAAGAGATTTTTCGAAATGAAATATCAAAAATTCGAAGTCATTCACCCGAAATATCGTATATAAGATATACATAATGCTATTATGACTTTTTTGATTTCCTTACTTCGTCATGCGAAAAATTGCTGCTCCGATCGTGTTCAGAACGTTCCTCACCGATTCTTCTTACCGTCGATAAACAGAAGCGAGATAAGCGAGCGAGGGATAAGGGACCTGTCATCCGTGACGGAGTACGTCCCGTTCCAAGGTTCGCTTCAAGGACGATAACCCTCCGCGAACTGGAGTCGACTCGCTCCGAGAGAAGAAAGGAAGAAGCGTCTTTCCTCGTCCTTATGCGCGTCTTATTTCGTGAACAGGATGATTACGCGTTTACGATCTAGGGCTCCTCGCGCTACCTGCTATCCGCTCGGTTGGAGTCGAAGGTGAATATATATTATCGGGAGAAGGAGTTCCTGAGAAGGCACTTCACATAACGTAGCCGCTCTCGCGTGAGCTACCTCGGTGGCAGAGACGAGAGAGGAGGGTTCAAGGACGAAGAAGGAGGATCGGCACTTTTACTATATGAAAGCTTGTATGGGGGGTCGATGCGCGCATTCACACGCATATGCACACATACGCGCGCTTTAACGCGGTTGTGCGTGAGGAGCGGTTTCGGCTCGGCATAATCCGAATTCGAAACCTGTTTCTGCCCCCTGGGTCAACAACAACATCCTCCTACATCCCCCTCCCAATCCGCCCTCTCTGATCGAGCAGATGCACGAGCCACTTTCATCGCGAGCCCGCGTATAAACTCCGGTGTCAAGTGCTCGGTGGCCGGTGGTTACGTTATTTTCCCCGAGTTTTATGACTCTATCCGAGTGCCCTCCGAAACGCTGCAAATTCCAAGCTCAAGCGGGAAGTGTTGCATAAAGGTGTGAATGCACCGAGATGACTCGGCAGATATGTTTACGCCTGACCCGGAAAAAAAACGCGTAGCACAATCTATCGTCTCTTTTTTTTTTTTCGACCAGATACGCGGTAGGTCTCTAAAACAAATATCGGAAATAATTATGAAATGTTTCTCTCTCACATTCTCTGTCCTTGAAAATATTTTATTAGTGATTTTTAAAAATTCTTTCCTTGACATAATAAATGTCAAGCATTTTTTATTAGACTTTTCAGATGATATCGCAAGTCAAAAGAGGATAAAGCAAATTTTGTACTCTTCGCACTAATTTTAAATTTATGTTTATGCATACATACATACATGGGGGACCAGAGAGAGAGCGATTTGCTCTCGTTTGGAATAAATATTGGAATTTATTCGCATATTTAATATAAAAAAATAAAAATAAAAATAAATTTAAAGGAAAGAACAAAAAATGAAAATAAAAAAATTTAATTATGCCCTCTCCTGCAAAAAAAAAATTCTACGAAAGATTCCATACATACGCATATAGCTCAGCGCGATTGGAATTTTGCAATATTAAAAGTGCATTAGATGTGCAACGTAGTTACTTTCTCTCCAGGCGCAAATTGCAATCACGTCCCGCAGGATGCAGTTCGTACATGTTTTGCGTACTGAAATTTATTCCGCGACGAATCAATTAGCAGCTCCCTTACGTGTAATTATTCGGATTTAAAGGGAACTCTCTCGCGCACAAATTGGCGTTCGACAGCCTCGTGTCTAAATCATGCTCCGCAGGAGGTATTGTAATTTCCATCACGAACATATTCTATATAATTTAAAGTTCTAAAATGGGCGTATTAAATCGCTTTATTACAAATCTTCAATTTGCCTTTTGTCTGACTCACTTTGCACATTTACGTTGATTACTGATCGCAATCAATTGGAGAGATGCGCTTTATGCATTTCGTCTCTCGTTCGATTTTTACAATTCAATTTAATACACGACGTTCGAGATGCGAGGAAATCCTTTGAGAGACCCTTAATGGAAAATTGCACTTTGGTAGCCAAAGGAGAGACGTACGAATATAGGTCTACGATTTATTTTATTTATAATATACGCTCGTCAGTGCGGTGAAATTTTAGAACAGAAGCAAGGGACAAAGCGTCGCTTTAAATATCTCGTCGAGTGTCATTCAAATAATGCGGGTCGTTGTTCGCGTATCGTGCTTATAATTTGCCAGGGGTAATGATCGTGAGAAAAAAAACTCTTTTTATATCACATTTTTAAATTATCAGAATACAATTTTTTTAATCGATAATTAACGCCATCGTATACACATATAAAATCTTGAAAATAAATAAGAAAATAAAAAAAGATGTAAAAGCATTATAGGTATCTAAAAAAAAATTTTAATATATAGAATGTAATTAAATTATAAAAAAAATAATAATGATATTAAATAAAGAAATGAGCAATTTTTTTTAATACCAAAAAAAAAGGAATTAAAAAAGTATTCGCAAAAAATTTTTATTTAAAAATTATATGAATGGTATAAACATAAAGTATGCATGTGTGAAAATATTTCTACCAAAAACAAATTTAATAAAACGCAAAAATTTAAGCTAATAAAACTTATCGTATACGATCCTCTAAGTATATAAGAAGAAGAATTAATTATATCTTTTACTTACTTTCACTTAATGCACATAGATCCTGTTACGTAACAGTAATATCATGAATAAAGTGCTGAGGTCAAACGATTCGGGACTGATGATTGTGGACAATTAGTAAGCGAAATAAAGTACGTTGCGATTATCCCAAAGTTTTCTTTTACGTTGTTTCGCCAGTGTATATCTCGAAGACCGGCAGTCATAATTGCGCTTCTCGTATTAAGCGTCTCACTGTATGAGAGATGACCTTACGGCCTCTTATCGGTGAACCGAACTCCGTTCTGACACAGACACGTAATGAACGTCGACCAATATATACATGCATGCGACCACGCAGAGTCTGCAATAAACAACACATATGAATAATTTCACTGGTGACATTGGATCATTTTATTTTACAATATTAATAGCAATAATCTCTCATTTTTCTAATTCCTGTAATTCTTGTAATTAAATAAAATAATTTTTATCAAATGAACAATAGATCGGTACAAAAGAAAAGTAGTCAAAGACTGAAATAAATTCAACTCGCTGCATTAAATTTCACTTTAATGAACGATCATCCGCATTATCCCTATCTCTGAATAATTTTGATACGTTAAAGCGATTGAATGAAGATGAATAGACAGATGGATAGATAGATAAAGCAATGTCATATTAATGTACAACAGTGCACTTAAACTTGATTGAAGGTAACAGCTAGCGGTATCAGAAATGCAAAATGATTAGCTTAATCTTACGGCCGATTCAGGAATATCGTGCATGTCGGAGACAGCTCCGTAATGAAGATTAATATCTGTTAGAGCTCCGGCGCGAAGTATCTTCGGAATCTATTAGGCTCCGTGAGATGTTGAGGATAGAGGCCCAAACCAGAGGCTCTATGTCGGGGAAACGGCGAAAAAAAAACAACGAAAGAGAGAGAAAGACAGAAATAATTGCAGGGAAGGTCGTGCCCCGCAAGGTCGAAGGCGGTGAAACAAGGAGCCGATATATATATAATAGCGTTTCCAAGTTTCTAGTACTTTGGTAAAAGTAGTCCGAATATAAAATTGAGTCGAAACAGTTAAGGCGCCTATCCTAATCCCCCAAGCAAAGGATCTCTCCTTCGAACATTAATTCGACAAGAATTCTCAAACGTTACTAAATTTTATCGAAATGATCGTGAATTGACGAAAAATAATTTTTTAAAATTTGCATTATGAATTAATGTCATTTCATAATTTTGTTATTTCATCTTCGTAAGATAGAGAGAACTTTGACTATATTAAATGTAGAAAATATATTGTGTTTGAAGTATACCTATTTACAATAATTTTTAATACACCTTTTCCAATAATGAATGTTCTTTTTTACACAGTTAATTAATTCAATGTTCGAGTATGCGTAATTCATTGAGATGAGTTTTTTCTCGAACGAAGATGCAGCGCGAAATGAGAATAACAGCACACGTGTTTAACAAGATGATGCAGCTCGGACTGTGCATAACGAGGCTGTAAGATAAAAATATCGATAGTGATGGATGGGTAAGCGATTAGAGTCCCCATCATTGGAAGTAATTTTCTTGGAACTTCGTTTTACGCGTCGAATAAGAGGAGTAAAGACGAATTTCGTACTGTTGCAGATTGATCGCAGCAATTTTACCCATCATTTCGCAACGTGATGCATGCATATGGTAAAAGAGTGTAAAAAAATGTACGCGCAAAAAATATATTAAAAGACGATACATTAAGCGCATTATCGCTCTCGAAGAATGATGATGATTTAAACGTGCTCCTTGTTTTGAAATCTTTTATGGATTCAGTAAATTTAAATCCATAATACGCAAATTATTTTCTGCGTCATTAATTAATATTCTCACGATATTAATTTTTCTCTCCTCTTTATCAGCTTTTTGTCACGGATATAAAGAGAATGGACCTTCAGCGAAATTATCGTATCCTATATTTATCAAATAATTATTACTTACAACGCTATTAGCTATCATTTGATCGAACAAGCGTGCAAGTGATGTAACATTATACCAGTGTACGCGCGTATCAGATAATGAATATCTATTAATTGCCAATTAGGTTAATCGTTTAAAAAATCTATAGGATACTGCAAGTAACCTTATAACTTTATCGTATAAATACGAAAGGGAAAAAGAAAGGAGAGAAAAAAACGAATATGTATTATACATATATACGCATTCTCCGACCGCGGCGAGCGGAAAAATGCTGACGTCTATCCGAAATAAATCACATCTTCCTACGACCGCCGTCTGCGTCCGATCCTCTTACGTTCATTCTTAATCGGCTTCACGACGCGCATCTCGTTACTTTGCGACCCACGTTTAGGACGATTAGGGCGCAGCGACCGTGTGACAACGATAAGAAAAAGAAACGCCGCGCAGCGAGATCTCGCAGTTCAAGTCAGGAACAAGAGATTGAAATCGGTATAAGTTCGGTGACTGTGAAGATTTTGCCATGTGTGATCCAGAACCCTGCAAAAAAATTATCTCTATATTTATCACGTGTTAATCGACACGTGACAAATTCGGAAGACAAGATCGGAATATGATCGTTCATAAATGACACCTACATTTGTATCATTTTGATGAATTATGTCATTTTGATGATATATTTGTCGAATAAATTATATCATTTTTGGAGTAATCGTGGCTATATTTTTTTTTTAGTTATTAATACATTTCGAGCTCGCCGATTTTATACCGGTTTCGATCCTTAACTCCAGCTGAGGAAACAGTGATTTACCGTACGGCCACGTAATCGTTGAACACGCATAAGATTCGTGTTCGCGTGCGATTCGTTGACCAACACCGCGGAAAAGTTTGTTTCTTTCTTTTTTTACGGCGCAAGAGAAGTGTAACGAGAACTCATATATCAAAAGGCCGCACGACTTTAAATTGTCCCACGGAATTATGCAGTTTTGAAAAAGGTGTCGCGATAAATCTCACCGATGTAGAGCGTGCCCTTCCGCATGGCGATCGTTAAAGTTCGTGAAATTTAGGAGAAAATTGAGATGCGATTTATCTCGATTTGACACCTTGGTGTTATTCGTTTAGCATCCGCGTCTGATCCCGATGATTGATCGCGGCGATTGAAGGGGACTTTCTGAAGAAATGTTATTGTATTGTATTATGCTTTGATCACGCGGAAAATGATGTCACTCGACTGAAAAAATATTATATATTAAAAACCAATGCTAATATATTTTATAACAAAATAATATAATTAAAATATTATTTTTTTATTATCATAAACAAAAAATACGATTTATTTTTAATATTATTTTTTAAATAAATATTATCAGCAAACCAATATTTTATAATAAAATTATTTGTAATAATATTGAAATTATTAAATAATATAAATGAAAAAATTGTATTCTATTTTTAGACATATGCGTAGCATTTTTTTATATGCTCTCTTATCGCACATGATAATAATTATTGCTATACATAAGGTGTTTTTTCTTATTTTTCAACGTCTTCCTTCACCTCTATTATTTATACTATTTATTACAATTCTTATGTGGTATCGTGACGTTATCTAAGAATTTCAAGACGATTTTCCTACTAAGCTTGATTCACGTTTCTTTGGTCGAGACTATCAGTGTGTCGTGTGACACGTAACACGTACAACATATAACTACTTCGATAACATCATGCACGAGAATATCTGTATATATAAGTGCGGAGAATCGACGAGGCACACGACAGAACGTTAGCGGCGCTGGTGCAATATGCGTTACTGAACTGTCAGTACCATTAGTTGAGAAATAAGGCGTGTACCTAACCGGATCCTTCGGTACGAGAAAGCGCGGAATCTATTTTTCTCGTGTATACACTTATATTTCTCGCGAACCGGCGATCGGCGGAGATCTAGAGAAAAACGCGGGTGTGAAAATGGCGAAGCGAATCAACCACATCGTACTGATTGCTACAATGTTGGCCAGGTCAGTGTTTATAATCCATGCGCCTTATCATCTCTCCCCAAGGTGATATTAATGATCCCTACGTAGCAATTTTGTTTGACATACACTTTGATATATCATCACGAATTAACGATTGCCGAGCATTAATAGGGCAACCTGCTTCCATCTGCTTCGAGTGTTTACCGGCGACGCACATTGCAAGCGTATCAACGTCAGTGTAATAATAACATTGAACCATTTATATCGTTACATTCGCCTTCATACACAATGATTCATAGCGCTGCATAGGTGCACGAGCTATTGTTGCGTATGCACCTGAGCGTATATACAGATAAGGCGTATAATTCATCATTTATTTGGCAATTCTTCCTTATGAATTTATGTTGTAGTGCGTGTGTCATTCAAGGAGCGAGCATCACAGATTGGGTCACTGAGTTCACGAGCAACCTCAATCGTGACCTTAATAGCCAGATTCAACAAATTAATCAAGAAGTAGCAGATTTGACCAAAAATATTCAAAAAGATGTTGCAAAAACGATTCAGAATCTACCGAGAGGTAATCAAGATACTTCATAATGCAATATCGATTGGTGTCTGTTTAACACAAGAACTCGAGAGCATCACTATAAAATAAAAATCAAACAGCCGCATTTAACACTATTTAATTTTCATTTGATTTATATAAATATAATAATTTTAAATAGAGTGAAATTAAATATTTTTACATTATGATTATGCAAGAAAATCTGATAAATGTAGGTTTAATCAATTTCTCAATATAGCAAATTAATTACATCATTTTCTTATTATGTTATCTTCTTAATTTTTAATATCTTTTAAGTTAATATTTCTTTATTTTATCCAAGTGTTCGTGAATAAGTATTTTTTGATCACAGTTATCATTTTGTTGCAAAATCCCGGAGAACATTGATATCTTAATATGTAAATATACATATAATCTTTCCTTTTCCTGTCGCGCAACAGAAGAGAGGAAGAGAGGTCGACGGATTTGCATAATAGTTCGTGTGTGAATTATGACTAGCAATATTCTTCATCGTTATAAAAAAAAGATAAAACGCCCAAAATGAGATGCGAGAGAATTGCGTCTCCGAAATCGCATCTCGTTTACCGCGTAAACGTTCCTTTCACTATCGACCAAGATACGAAATAGACACTTGCGTTCTCTTTCAAGTCTCGAGGCAACTGGAATCATTTTCCTCGATTGATTCGATACTGACATTTAATTCCGCGCGCGAAATCTTTACCTACGCAATTAACTCGTACAACTTTACTCTGGAGCGTATCGAATCGTGTTATCGATGATTAGTATCGGTAAAAATTCAATTCTCCAATTATCCACTTGAAATCGAACATGATAATATATGTAATTTAGTTAATAATTAATCAATTAATGTGTGTACAAGATGTTTCATAACTTCGCATTCTGGCTGATTCAAATATAATTTCACTTGTTGTGTCAGGTATTATTTATCCAAAATTCTCTGAGCATCTTATAATGTCAAATATTATTAAATATATGCATATATGAGCTTCTTAGATGTCAAACTGATCAACTCGATTTTTTATAAATTTTTTAAATTTTTACCAAAACATTATTATGGCATTAATCAGTTTGGCTTCTAAGAGATTCATACGTTATTTATGCAGTTGTTATATGTGAAAAAATATATTACTAAAACTTTGTTCGCTGATGTCAAACTGATCAACTCGATTTTTTATAAATTTTTTAAATTTTCACCAAAACATTATCATAGCATTAATCAGTTTGGCTTCTAAAAGACTCATACGTTATTTATGCAGTTGTTATATGTGAAAAAATGTATTACTAAAACTTTGTTCGCAGATGCACAAGGAAATATAATAAGCGATAGTGGCAGCAGTGTTATAAGCGTTACTGGTAACGGCACTAAATATGTAACCATTATTGATGGTGTATCAAGAATAATTACGACTGGTTACACAAAAGATGGGGAACCGTATATACGCGATATTGTGGAGAAACGCATAGGAGATATGCTTTATCGGAATGAAACTATTACTTTTCCAAAAACTGGTGTCAGCGAGACGACTGCGTGGAAATTAGATCTCGCGAAACCAGGTTCCAAGCCGGAAATAATTACGGAAACAAAGACGGATACAAAAAAGGATGAAAAATAATGCAATGTTTCTTCTTCCTACATCCCATATTATATATTATATACTTTGGCTTAAAACATTAAATAACTTATGTAATCAATAAAAGGTCATGTTATAGCTGTGAGAAATTAATAGATTGCAATATAAAAATAAAAAAAAATACAAGTATGTAATTGACTAGATATTTTCTAAAATATATTATGATTCATAATAAATGCCTAGAATCTCTGTGTCATTGAATTTTTATGAACATTTTAAAATTCCGTGCAATTAATCTGAATATTAAAAGATGTAATTACTCTGCAATAAATTTGATAAACCTACAGTTTTTTGCACATTTCTCGAAATATCGTTATCTGTGATTCCGGCAAGAATGTAGATCTATCGTAAAATATGACAGTAAAATGCGTTATACCAGGAAAACATACAATTATCGTGTTGCATGAACCGACAAAATAAGCAAGCGGTGAATTTTTAATAATCTGATCTTGCAAGAGAGACTTCGAATAAATAAACTTTTAATTAAAGTATGCACGTTGACGTTATCGGTCTTGCGATATCAATATTGATACATATTTATTGTGCCTCGCGGTTTCATATTATATATGTATATTCAATTAAATAAGCATTTACATTAATAAAAAATATTCGACATTGTGTGTTTCAACTTCATTGTGATATTGTGAATAAATAAATAAATACGGTAAACAATATTCTTCTCAAATAAAATCAAAATTTAGGTATTTTGACCTGCTTCTTGGTAAAATTAATTATCTTCTTTTTAAATTTAGAACATTATTTGTTTCAAAGAGTTAATATTATTTAAAAGTTTAATAAATATTGTAAAACAATGGCAATAACAACTTTAGTTTTTTGCTAAATATTTTACGAAAAATGAATATTAAAGAAACAAACACAAATGACAGCTCAATAAGTAATATGACTGTTTTAAGTAATGGCTATTTTTCGTTGCACAAAAATAATAATTTAAAATATTTTTGAGAGAAAATATTTACATTGATAACGTCGTAAATAAATTATGATATACATATTTATATCTATGTATATACATATAATGTATACAAGAATCTATCATTTTTAACAATATATTATATAAAGTATCGAAGAATCGTTCAATTGAGAATGAAACGCGCGAAAAAGAAAGATGAATACAAAATTAGATAAAAAAATTTGCACAAGAAAAAGATTTAACCAATGAAGAGTCATTTGTCACGATATACAGCTACGAAATTTTTAAGGCGGAGAAAGAAGGAAGGATTCGTGTTTTCGACGCACATACAGAATGTATACATGTACTGGATAACAAACACGATGCATATATATTATCACCTTACAATGGCGTCGAGAAATTCTCTGAATCACATTAAAAATATCGTTATCAACATTATACAATCATGTTCATAAATGCATTATCAGAAATAATAAAAATATTTACATTATATGTTATGTTTATATTTTCGATATTTCTATAATTGTCTGACGGAGAATACTTCATTTCGTCGCGAGACTGTATTATCATATTTATAGAAGTTTTTAACGTGCTCGTAAAAGTCACATTAAAGAGTGCAAAAACATCACATTATTCATTTTTCGCGTTCTGTTGTAAAATAACGCTCATCACGGCACAATTTTCGCGACTTTGTTCACATATAAATAAATGTTCTATCTAAATTGGCGAAATTTTTCATAATACAGAAATAAATTGCATGGTTAGATAAACGAAAATTACCAAGAAATTAAAAAACCATGAAAGATATGCATATAATTATACCCATATTTGCATGCAAATGTGAAACAAATTTCGATAACTTTAGCGACACGATATGAGAATATATATATATATAATATATATTTATAATATTTGCCTTGCTATAAAAAATAGTTAAAAATAATAATTGAACAGTGTTGCGTTCCGAAAATTATCAGAATGTATCAAAATGTCTTCTGCTCGTGCAAAATAATAAATTATCCGAGGATATAAGTAAAAACGAAAGTCGTAGTGTTTTATGCAGTTCGCTATTGAACATGAACTTTCATAGAAAGAGTAATAAACGCGCTTTCTTTTTCTGTTCGTTTCTACGCCATTGATGGTAGATTTACATGCATACAAAGGGATACGTAATTCGAAACTCCCTATCCGCGCCTCTCGAGAAGGGATACTCCCACATTGGTTTAAGTACGAGATCGTTCGGTCGATTTTTTTCTCTTTTAATGCATATGGGACCATTGTCTACGCGTGACCATGACCGCGAGACACGTGGGTGTAAAATAGTAGGGATCACCAAACATCAATTTGGCCCTTAAAATTTAATTATTGTGTAATGTGCATCAAGATATATATATATATATATATATTTTTTTTTTTCTTAGAATTTCTTTTTCATATAAAATAGAGTTAAGGTATATATGTATATATATTGTTCGATCCCTTAATTCTATTTTATATACTCCAAGAAAATATATGTATATGCCCCATGACAATAGATGGAGAATCAAAAGAATAAAAATCGAATAAATCTGAAAACGGTGACGCTATAATAATATCGATCTACACTGTGCACGTCTCTCCTTCAAAGAGAAAGTGTATTTCAAGATATTTGAAGTTGTTATTTTAAAATGTCCGTATATATAGAGTGTATCTTTCAGCCATCGAATATTATCTGTATCGACATGAAAATAAATGATAAATCGCGTTTTGCCCCATCGAGAAATGCAATGACAAGAATAATTTCCTCGATCGAACGACACATAAATTCCCTGCAGATAATGCACGAAATAAATAGTTATTCGGAAGAAAAACGAGAGTCTGTACATCGCACACGGCGACGTGCTTTTTTGTCACGAGCGTGTCTTTCATTCCGAAGCAAGAAGCCCATCCTCGATCGAAGTAAGTGCTGCTTTCGAATAATTGGCGAGTGACGAACGGAATAAGGATCGCGGAAAAATCGTTGTCCGAATAAAAGGAAGGGATTATTCCGTGCCTCTTCCGTGCGCTCGTAAAGTTGAAGTTTCGCGGTAAGTCATTAAAATGCATGACTCTCGTGAGACGAAAAACTCGGCGAGATGAGATCTCTACGACGGGAGCGTCTCGTTAGGCCGCTAATTTGTCAGGGCCGGTGACACAGGGTTCCCGAAATACATCGTTACGGATGGTAATCGTCGAAAGGCCGCCAGGAAAGATCGTTTCGTGTGGTAAACGGAAATGGGAGGAAGAGTAGAATTCATCGCGAGGCGATGGAATCCTGATTTACGAACGGAAAAGAGAAATCCAGGGGGAAAAAAGTTCTTTCCGTGAAGAAAGAGAGGACTTCCCGTAAGAAGCAACGTTTGAAATATGGATTTCCTCATCAATGTCACAGAATTTCCCGCAAACTTTGTGTTCGTTTTTCAAATAGATACATATACGAAAATACGAAGATGGCAAACGCAAACGCGATAAAATAAATACCTTTTGCTTCTAAATTATAAAACAAAGTGAAATAGTTTTATTTTATCATTTATATATATAATTTTATCTTTTAAATATCTGACGCAGAGAATGCGCAGATAATTCTAAATCTTTTATGATATATCACTGAAATAAAATCTTATAAATTACATCTGGACGGAAAATGAAAATTATCAGAGAGAACCATTTGTAGTAGAAGAAAATTTCCTACTGGTCCAATTATTTATATTTATTTTTACAGTTACGCGATAATTACGCGACGTGTGTGATAATGACTCGAACAATGTTTTCATTCCACGATGAATTTTATCTTATAAATATCTGAGGCAGAAAATTTACAGATAATTCTAAATCTTTTATGATATAATATCACTAAAATAAAATCTTATAAATTACATCTCGACGGAAAATGAAAATTATCAAAGCGAACTTCCTGGTACCATTTGTAGTAGAAGACAATTTCCTACCAGTCCAATTATTTTTATTTATTTTTACGGTTACGCGATGATTACGCGACGTGTGTGATAATGACTCGAACGATGTTTTCATTCCACGAGAACCTTTAACATCAAAATGCCTTGATAGCTGTGCTAATTACTGCGGAGATACGGTAAGGATATTTATGTGCGCTTCGCACACGTACACACGCGTGTATAAACGATCGCGAATACAAGTTGACTCGATCTTCAAGGTAATAACAGCGTGCACGTGGTTGTCCCCTTTTCTCAGTTTCTTTTTTTTTCCTCTCCTCTTTGCATCTTTGCTCCAGATGCAATTTTTTCAGAATTTCACCGCGACTTGCGCGTCACCATCGCTATATTAATTTTTATTTTATATGCCATTTGTGTGTGTGTGTGTGTAATGTTATAAAATACAGAAATGAACCAAGTACGTGCGACTCGTAACTCTTTGGAAATTATGCAGCGCATTACCTTTTCGACATTTCGTTACTTTACGAGGGTGCAGCCTCGGCGCTCCTTTTCATTTCTATTTCCTTCTTGCTTTCTCCCCTTTTCTCCTTCGTTGCTTTTTGGATCGCGCGCGATTTCACCGACGAGAAGATTGGGCTCAAGGTAAGATCGAAAGAGGCTTAATTTGAGAGAGTTCGATTCACTCGATACGTTACGGATACGAAATCATGCCGATTGTGACAAAATATAAACGCGTTTGTCACTAATAATAAATAAATATATTACTCTCGTTGCGATCGCGATGCGATATATTGTGCTTTGAAATCTCGAAACTTGAATTGTTCGAAATTATCCACTTTCCCGATGGATATGATCATATCGTATTCCAAAAATTAATTAATTAATTATTTGAATCTCGTGATACCATTTGTTCTCGTAAATGTTTCATATTTTGATTACCGTGAATGAAAAGAGAGAGAAATTCACTAAATTCGACCATTTTTTTTTCAACACGCGATGAATACGAATATAAAAAAATCAAGTTGTTTTTTCGAGGGCGGGCTTATTTTAAAATTCAAACTTGGTCGTTCTCTGCCGCCTGCGTTTGCGAGAAAAAAATACATATACGAATGTCGCTTTGTTGCGAATCTGTCGGCGCTTATTGGCCGTGTGTATCTGATAATAATCGCTATAGATATTTTTCTCGGCGCCTTATTAACGCGCCGTCGCTATTATATCGACGCCGCGATCGTATTTTTCACGGTTTTATCATCGCAGGCTTATACGGACTTTATGGTGTCGTAATTTACCGACCCTTCGGAAAAACACGCGTGCCGAAAAAAAAAAATTCAGCCGAGCAATAATCCCAGTTTCAAAGAGCAATTCTCCCGCGATTCTCTCATCAGATCGGAGTTTCACTCCGACGCGCGCGATTACCAACTTAAT